TGCAGGTGTTGTGATGCTGGCTATGAACGCTGACTGGGAGGATCAACAAGAAGACCACATGTGCCCCCGTTTTCCTAAGCCTGGACCCCGAGTGCTGTAGTCACTCATGATACATTTCAGACTACTCCTGGCCATATCATTTGTGCTCACATGGATGAGGACCATGGAATAGTAGTCAGAGGGCCAGATTAGGTCAGAAATCCTCGCAGTGATGTTCTAGATCTGGGCTCCAGGCAGGCAGCACACCCCCAATGCCATAGGATCTGGACAACAGATGGGTCTCTCCATTCCTCTCAGGTGCTGATTATGATTTTTCAGAGCATGTACCTGTGTGGTTTTGGCACTCAGCAGCAATGAACTCATTTAGTATGTTAAATATTTCTTCTGCCATTGGTAGAGTTGGAATGCTGTTGTAGATGTGATAGTCCAGAAAGTGAACGAGAGGCAAGGCTTTCTTGTGATATTTATTGCACCTATTGTATTGTTGGTAGAGGTGTTGGATAAACTTTCAGGCATCAGGTAGAAAAGATAGACACAGGCTGAGCTAAATAGCAGAGAGAAGAAAGATCTTGTCAGCAACCAGAAAGCCAGAGACCAGGGGTTGCAAGCAGGGTAAGCAGTTTGCAGGCAGTTCACAGGTTAGTTTGCAGGTCATTTTGCTGTCCCACCCTTTTGATGGGTGAGCCTTTCAGCGTGGTGTGAGGAAGCAGGAAAAAAGGAACCCTTTGGGACCAACAAGCAGTAAACAGGTCAGCTTCCAGGAGAGTTTGCTAGGGAAGGTGTGCTTGGAAGAAGGGCAGTAAGAGAGAAAAGGCAGATTAAAAGACCCAGGGAAATGGCTGAAGGATGTTGCAATGCCAGAGCCACTGGCACTGCCTCTGCCTGCACCTGTGAGGTGTCTGGCATAGGTGGAGAGAGAAAAAAATTTGGGGCAGGGGCTAAGCGTGTGTGTGCATGCATGCATGTGTGCCCTCCCCAGCAAGTAAGTCTATGGGGGAAGGGGTGAATGGAGGGGAAAGGGCCATGGGGTGGGGAGAATGGGGCTGCGGCTGGGGAAGGCCCTGCACAGCCAGGGTGGGGTGCGGGGTGGAGCTGTGGTTCATCTGGGGGTGCAGGGAGGGGGTGGTGGATCCCGTTGCTGCATGC